GTAGACATAAGCTTTGCTATAATTATTTTTAATAAAAATAGTTAATATGTAGCTATATAAGTTATCTGATAAGTAGCCAAAGCTGTAAATATGTTATAAAAAAGTAATAATAGTTTGAGGATGAGGAAGTAGTAGTATATAGTTGTAAAATAAAATTTTTGTAACAAGTATTAAATTAGATGTTGTTATAGTATTGTTTAGCTATAATGGTTTCATTTTGGCCTTCTAAGATGGCTTCTATTATTTGAGAATAAGTGTTGTCTAATTCATTATTTTTTATAATTAAGTTAGTATCTAATATATTATTGTTAATTAAAAAGAATTTAGAAAGGATAGGTATAGATAGGTAGTAGATATAACCTAATAATTATAGGAAGAAGTAATTAGATAAGGGTTAAGACATATATAGTAGGTATATATAACCTTCACTATAGTCAAGTTTGATTGCTAATATTAGTACATAGTTAAAATTATTGTATTATGTTAATAGATGTATTTTAAAAATAAATTGAGTGTTTGTAGATGTGAAAGTAAAAGTAGATTTAGAGTGTTCTCAAGCAGCTCCCTCAATGTGATTAGCTAGTGATCAAGATGTTGCTCAAAGCATTATGATTAATTGAGTGGTTATTACAGTTAATCGAAAAACGAATTATTAAAAATTCATTGTTCGAATGCGGATTTTAAATTTTAGCCAGTCAGAGCAGCTCCATGAAAAAAATTGGTGGTTGTAGCTCCAAGTTTTTTTGACCTAAATAATAATCGCGATCTATTTTTTCAGCCAATCAGATCATTTTGTAAACACATTGAGGGAGACGCTTGAGAACAGCCTTAGACATGTTAGTTATTAGTTATAGTATAAGTCTGAATCATATAATATCTTGTGAATTGGTTCTTGCAGTGCTTTTTTGATGTTTAATAATGAAATAAGATTCAAAGAAGCAGAAGATATTTTTTGTAAATTCGCTTACTATATGCTTGGCTCTCACAGCTGTAAAGAGTGCTATAGCCTGTTCTGTATATTGAGTCTGGCCATCATTAACTTGGTTTTCCATATAAAAAAATTTCATACTTAAAAACTTCAACTTATATAATCTCTTATACAAATCCTTTTTAATCTTTATATTATTAGCTTAATTTTAATTGGTCTTATTTTTACTATTTTTTTTCAATTTAAAGCAGCAATCTTGCCCATATATCATTTATTAAGTAATATATGATTACATGTAATATATATAGTATATTAATGAAAATACAACTAGTTATATGTATAACTTTAGTTATTATCTAATTAAGAGTTTCACCAACAGGTTACTCACTAGATGTCATATCTAAGACCTACCTGTAAGTCTTTATTTAAACTTTCTGATTTTCAATACTATTTGTGTATATATCTGCAATATTTATATTATCATTGTAGTGACATTTGGGCTAGGGCTATCTTAGTTGCTATTTATATCAAAGTACCACCTTATTGGATATTACTAAGTATTTATATTTCTTCAAATTTACACTTAACACAGACTTACTAAGTATAGTACCAAGATTACTACTTAGATTTATCTAATTTAGTGTATTCCATATCTACTAAACCAGTTTTGGTGCCAAAGATGTTCGAATTTTAGTAAGTTCATTCCTTTCCTATAGTTTTCTTTTATGTTCATCATATAACCTACTAGTACACCTTCTCTTCATTTTTGATATGTTCACTTTTCTTACATTAAGTGCCAACTCTTCATATTGAAAAACTTCTTTTTAGAAAATTTCTTGTATACTAATCTTTTATTTACATGGACTTAAGCCACAGAGCTTTGTGTACATTTATATGCTTTCATAGATTATAAAGTTTTGCCTCTAGCTAGAATTAAATCATTGACCTTGTCTGCAGAAGGAGGGGTGCCTAGATCACTAGGCTACAGAACCCCATCCCCTTATTTTTACTATTTATAATACTTTTATTATTTATTAAACAACTACTTTTCTATTTATTAAACTTCTTTTTTACTTAAATTAAAAATATACAAACATATCTGGATCCTTTATTACATCTCTTGCTTTTAATAATCTTAAACTTCCATTTTTACCAATTTATTAATTAATTCTTCTTCTATTTATACTTTATTACCTATTTTAATCCTAAAAATTATTACTAAAATAAATCTTTAAAATATTTAATAGACTAAATATTATTCTCTTCTTTTCTATATATTTATTTATATTCAAATTTAGGTAAGCATTGAAAATTTAGATTACAGATTATATGTTTAAGTCTTTATTTTTTATATATAATTTAAAAAAATAAACTTTTCTTTATAAAAACTTTATTTACATTTTAATAAAGTCAAAGACATAGCTTTATTATTAATATTTAAAAAAAAAATTATAAATTTATAATAATTCTATTTTAATATATAATATTTATTTAAAATCTATTTCAGTTAATAATTATACTAATTATTTAAAAGTAGTAGGTACTATTTTAAAATTATATATAAACTTACTAGTTAATATTTTTTATAATTTAAATTATAGAACTTTTTATTAATTAAATCTATTTTAAGCTTCTAAATAAATTTGTAAAATAGATTTTTTGTAATTTTAATAATAATAAGTTTATTAAAATTAGTTAAAATTTCATTAAATTATCAAAATTTAAAGATTAAATATACTGTAATTTTTTATTATAAAACTTATTATATAAAACTACAAAAATTAAATAATCAAAATAGATTATTTTGTCTATTTAGATAATTTTAAGTTAATTTAAGTAAACTTTATAGTATATATAAGTATAACTTATTTATAATTAATAAACCTTAAAATATTTTTTTTTATATCCTTTTACTATCCTGAAGGTCTTTAGACACCTTTAGGATCTGTCATATCTCTTAAAGGCCAGAGTTATCATTCTGTGAAGATCATTGGATGGTGTGTGGCTCTTGCATGTCACCAAACTTGTGAGATAACTATGCTTTATCAAGTCCGCCATATGATGTCCTGGGTCTCTGGCCCTGCGATATAAGACCTACTATCCTTTTCGGTCCACATTTCTCCAACTTTACATAACCTACTAGCCAGATTGTCCATATATTTCAAAGTTCTTAATTCTACTATTATGTATTCTTAAATTAGGCTCTCTCAATATTAGCATCATTTGTTGACGGATTACATCTTATCTGGTTGTTCCCGACCCTGTGGCTATGCCAGTAACTGCATTCTTTTTGTATGAATCTTGTTTTTGCTTTTAAATAAAAATCCTCTGCAAATCTTTTTTCAATTGTAGTCCTGGCAGAGTTGTTATCGCCCTTTGAGCTCAAAGTCATGACCTTGCAATTGAGACCTAGAAGCACTAACCACTGTGCTATCGACCTATAGATAATTTTAAAATTTTATAAAATGATATATTTTATTTTAATGTATATATTATAAAAAATTTATAGATTTTTATTAAATTTTAAAAAAAAATTTATTATAAATAAAAAAAAATTATTATAAGTATTTGTTTAAGAAATAAAGTTTTATAACCTAGTGGTTTAGATGTCTTCTCTTTATATATAAGATCAACAGTTTAATTCTAGATAAAAATAAAAACTCTATAATCTATGAAAATACTGTATATTAATATATACAAAACTTTGTAACTAAGTTCATATAAATAGAAGATCAGTATACAAAAAAGTTCTGAAAAGAAGTTTTCTAATATAAAAAGTTAATGCTTGATGCAAAAAAAATAATGAACATATTAAAAATATTAAGAAGATGCACTAGTAAGTAATATAATGAATATAAAAGAAAGCTATAAAAAAGAAATGAACTTACTAAAATTTAAGCACCTCTGATACTAATACTGATTTAGTAGATATAAGATATACTAAAATTAAATAAATCTAAGAGATAATCTTGATATTATATTTAGTAAGTTTGTATTAATAATAAATTTAAAAGAATATAGATACTTAGTAACATCCAATAAAACAATATTTTGATATAAATAGTAATTAAAATAATCATAATCTGATATGTTACTATAATAATAATATAAAGTATTGCATATGAGTAACAAAAAAAGAAAACCTGTAAATCATCTTATTCAATGAGTAGAATGATTTATAGATTTTTCTTTTTTGTCACTTATATATATGCAATACATATTGAAAATTAGAAAATTTAAATAGGTGACTCAAAGGCAAGTCTTAGGTATGACATCTAGTGGTAACCTATAGACAGAATCCTTAATTAGATAATGACTAAAATTATACATGTAACTAATTGTACTTTCATTAATAGACTATTGTATATAAATATGTAATTATATGTTACTTAATAAAAACATACAGGTAAGATTGCTGCTTCAAACTGAAAAAAATAAGTATTTGTTTATTTTTGCATGTCTGAATTGTATGTTAGGTTAGTTCTAGACAACCAATCAGATTTTAGGATCAGGTGTAACGTTATACAATCAAAAAATTCAAAACAAGTATTCGTCTTGCCAAAAAATCGTTATTTCGCTTAAGAAATCACCTGTGCTTTAGTCAAAAGAAGTTTTCATTAACCGATTTTACTAATACCTTACAAATATTTAACTTTAATACAAATGCTAACCTTAATATCAATGCATTTTAAGAATTTTGCACATTTTCGACGTGTGATCGGCAACACGCATAACCTGGCTCACAATTCAGACGTGCTTTATTTTAGAAAATGATCTACTATACCCACTACCCTTAATGTTTGACCTGTGTATTCAGTTTAATAAAATGAAAATTTTGAATAAAATCTTAGATATGATAAATAATGATCTACAAGGATTTAATTATATATAAATTTAAACAAATAAAAATTATAAAAAACTATAATTATAAAAAAGAAAACTAAACTTTAATAAGTAATATAAAAAAAATTAAATCTCATACGCGTGGGCCTAAAAGCTAGTCTATATATTAAAGATCTTGACTTTCCTTATTATAAATTAATAATAAAATTTTAATTAGCTTCCTTTTAATTTATTTCTTATTCAAATTTTTTCCATCAAAGTCAAAGGTCTCTTCATTAAAGTCTTTAGGCAAATAGTTTAAAAATTTTCTGACAGCTTTATTAAAACTAGTTTCCACAGTTTTTATCGATTTTGGGGATATATGTTTTAAATATCTCTCATAGCTTAATGAGGACCACATATGATAGGCGTATTGGTTAGAGAAACTATAGTTAGTTGTGTTGAACGCCAAATTCAGGCCCTCATCCTCCCAATGCGGCCAAAAAAATGCTGTATTGTTTAAAACATGGATATCATTGGGATATTCCTTTGACATTTGGTAAGGCATAAGAACTGAATGGAAGCTCCAATGACTATCGTCGAAAGTTTTATATCTTTGTATCCATCTGGTTAGAAAAGGGGCAAATGGTCTGCCGATAAGTACTGCATCACAAAGACTTGTCCCCCCCTCAATGCCCATGGTAAAATCATCATAGAGAAGATCATCGAACGGCTGAAGGACAATAATATCATTATCGAGATAAATGCCACCAAAGTCCCGTAACACTTCCATCCGTATAATATCTGACTTGTGCTGAATAATATCCACACGGTTTCCAAAAATCTCTGTCACTATTCGTGTTTTCATGATACTTAATTTAGGCTTTATGAGTTGATACCAGTAGGTTTTTGGTTCGTGAATACAGTGAAAATAGGTTTTTTCTGGCTTAATAGTCTCAATCGCTGAAGTATAAGCAAGCCATTGGATAAAATTAAAGGGCAGGTTATTTGGATCTTCATTAAGATATACATAATGTAATAATTTTGGCACTTTTTGAGTTCGTTTCGGTACCGTACAGTTACAGTTGCAGTTGCTTATACCTGTTAGCAATGTATATTAGAGGATGTTAATTTTATAATGTTACAAAACACTTTTATTCTACCCTGAACTCCCGATAGGCCATAATAATAATATATTCCGTAATAAAACATTTTTAGTGATCAATTATTTGTTGAATATAAAGTTTTTATTTTTAATGGGGATAGTTAAACTATATTCTTTTGCGCTACATTTTTTGAACTTTGGAGATTTCAAGGTAGAACTTTCACATTACATAATTTATAAAGTTTAATTCTTATACCTTCATCTAAGAAATTTTCGTAATATGATTGTGAAGAATCTAGCTCAATAAAATTATAGAAATTATTCATATAATATACTGTTGTGAACAAAATAATTCCTAGCATAAAAGGAACAAGCCAAATTTTGATGGCATTTATTTGTAAAAAAGCCATCGCATCGGATTTTGTATAGTAAATAGAGTATTAATTTAAGTTGAAAGCGAACCTTTAAGAATAAGAAATATTTATAATTTGATATCTTATTCAATAAGCGAAACAGGTTCTGTGTGTAATTTATAATAAATTAAATTTATTACAGCAGGATTTTTCAAATTCGTGTAACCCAGATCATTTCTCTTTTTGGTAAAAGGCCTTCAATTGGAAAATACATTTTTTTAATCTATAGTATAAATTCTGTATCAATCATTGGCCGTGTTGTTATTTGGTGCACAACTTGCACAACTGAAAAAATTGTTTTTAGATATCAAAAAAAAACATTTTAAATAGAAATCGATTTTAGAATAACATTTTAAGATATTGCAGATCAATTTCTATATCAGATAAAATCCTTGACTGTAAATCCCGATCAATTCAGATATTCAGATCAGAGATTTTACTCGGATTGGTCGAACTTAAATAACGATGTGCTCAAAGCTGGCTTTATTTATAATCTGATAAGGATTCAATCCGGATTTCCTGCCAAAGCTAGGATTGAAACACTATAGCACAATATTGATAAATCTATGGCATTAAATCGCACCAATTAAACACAGCTAGTTTTCCCATCTTTTAGGAGAGCTGTCTTTAAGGTCTCATAAGCTTTTGGAGATGGCCTTCGCTGCCAAACGTTGACTTCTAATACATTCAAAGGCAACAATACAAATTCAGTGCAGCAAATCTTATCGTATGATTAAGAAATCTTATTGACTTTTTAAGAAAATTTTGTGGTTTAAACACCCGCGACCTAAATCTTTTTTACTGTTTTCCACTACATACAGTACCTAGGGTCTTATTCAAGAACACCAGCGTAGCCAATAATCGAGGGGGCAGTCATACAATTTTCAAACCTCTTAGTTTTTATCGAATCTGACTAACCCTCACAATGTTACTTATATAATTTTATTGTTTTTTTTTGTTATTCGTATTTTTAATTTTCTATTTGTACAGTTTTATAACAACGAATTTTTATATTGAACTTTTCAATAAATTTTTTGTAACGACCTTTTTCAATGAACTTTTTATAATATTTTCAACGAATTTTTTATAGCTTATTATAACGAACATTTTACATCAAACTTTCTTATAAGGATTTTTAAAGAAGTACCAGGAACAAATGTAATGAGTCTATGGTTTATATGCTGTTTGAAGTGGGATTTGTCCGCAAAATCATAAGTTTGATTGGTCACATGATTTATTCGTCAAATTTTGGTATTTTTCACACATGAATTCATCATGCATATAGATAAACGGATATATGTAATCACAGAGTAGAATTTGAATACAAAAAAATGCAAACGTAAGAGATGTCGTAGTTGCGATAACTAATAATAGTAAAAGCAAGACTTTAAGCAAAAAAATTGATAGCCTGGTGCAAATTAATTTGCGTATTTACCTGATTTTTGTTTGGTATTTTTTTATTTTTTTTTTCGTAGGATTTTTTATTGGGTTGATGGAATGATAATCGCTAATCGTCAAAGAAGAGAAATTTAATTTTTCGGGTAGCCAGATAACCTGATAATTTATTACATGATGCCTTGTAAACTTTGTTTGATTAGCTAATTAGAGTCAATGCCTATATTGTATATCAAATGCTTCACAATATATTAATGAGATGCTACTAGATCAGTTCTCGTTTGTACGTTACTTGGACTATTTGTTAACTACTATATTTGCTTTCGTTCCTGTTTTCTAGTGCGGCTACTTCGCGCAGCTACCTTATTTATTATGCGTATTGGTGTAGAAACAGTAAATTATTCTATAAGGAACTTTTAAGAATGTTATCATAAGGACCGATAGTTCATTATAAAGATCTACACAAAAAAAACGATAACACGAACGTTTTTATGTAGTGTGATACCAGAATACCGTGATCGATCACGTGAAAAATACACGAAATGTAATAAGTTACATTTGTGATCGAGAACGGTATTTCGGATGCAGAAGGGTAGTGTGGGAGGATGTAAGGATAAATTACACATCCTTGAAGAAATAACATATTACTGGAAAAATTAAATAATTAATTATAAATAAAATTAGGTAGTCTTAAAGTAATAATAAGTGCGAAGTCGCATTTGTAAGCGACGAATTCAATAATATAAATAAAGGCCGAAATGGCCTTTAGGAGCAGTACGCTTCGTTTGCTTTATTAAAAATACAAGTCCCAATACATTATAACGCCTATAATAAAATACTAACACTATCCCTGTATAAACCCTGTAAACCCCTATAAACATCGTCGTTTGTTCAAGTTATTGTTCACGTGACTTACCCTACTTGTATTCGTTGACCCAAAGTAACCGAAGCCTTAATCACCCACCAGCAAAATCTAACACCCTCTTTCGAAAAGGTTACTTATCGTACGTTACACGACATTTTGAATTGTGGAGCGACAGAGTCGCAATCTTCCGAACCGAACAGTATCAATTGCAATAATATTAATTTTGCCTAATTTTGGTGCCATCATTGGAGTTTTAATCTACCCTACTACTGATGCTCCCTCATTTACTATGAGAAATGTTATATGCTTATCCACTGTTCTTGCTCTATGTATTTTAACTATTGGAATAAAAGTTTATTTGGATTTACTAAATAAGAGACGTGATTTGACTATATTATCAAATCATAATTACTTAGGTGATATTGATTTAGTGAAAAATAAAAAGAAACTTAGAGAAGTAGCTATGAAATAAGTGAAAAAAGAACCAAGATTTGATGAAGTTTAATTTATTAATTAAGACAATTAAAAATATTTAAAAAAAGTTACTTGTTAGTTTTGTATGATGGACATTCAAGTATTTTAGTTATGAATACTTATTTAAGTATTTTAGATATGAATGCTTATCTGTGAATATTACCGGTTCTTCTATAATTAATAAGTTAGCAAAATAATATGAAAAAATTATTTATTTGTTCGGAGAAATAACAAACTTCGACTCACTTTTTTTATCACAATAATTCTGTGGTAACATTGTATGTAGTAAAGGATGGTAATACTCTCCTCTATTATCTATTATTTTTAAACTAAATTAACTTGTAAAAAAAAAATAATAATAGTAATAATTTAAATCTTGTATGTACAGTACTGTATATGCTTTTCCTTTGTTATAATTTTTTATTTTGAAAGACTTAATCAAGTGTTAATCATAGTAAGGTTCTGCAAGTGCCGGGACACGTGCCTGGCGATATGTTTTAATGATGCTCATGCAAGCATTTACAGAACTCTAATCCAAAGGTAATATACGACTCATTTCGATTCACTCTCATTATATATATTATATGTGTCATTTTTAAATCCTGTCAATTATTAATTAACAAATTAAAAAAAAAATCAGAAATATTTATTATAAGCATACCAGGAACGGAGTGATGAAATCACGAAGTAGATAGTTTATACAGAACAATAAGTAGTATCCGTCGCCAAAATCTTAAGTTTGATTAGTTATTCATCTTTTGGTTATTTTTCACACAATACTTCATCACGCATTATTTTTCACACATGAATTCATCACACATATAGATCAACGGATATGCACGTGCAATCACAAAGCATAATTGATCGTCAAGGACTTATATGATGCATTGTTTGATTAGCTAATGCGAGTCGATTACCTATAATGTCTATCAAATGCTTCGCGATATATTAATGGGATGCTATATTAGTTCTCGTTTGTATGTAACTTGGATTATTTGTTAACTACTATATTTGCCTTCGTTCCTGGTTTCTAGCGTGACTGCGTCGCGCAGCTACCTTATTAATTTAACCGAAAATATTCAAACTTATGCAAGATATATTAAAATTTACTTATTTTTTTTTGTAACTAAAAATGTTTGCATTGTTCACGTAAAACGAATCCACAATGCCTTGAATATAACGAATTTTTATTTCTACAAGAGCAAGATTTAGTAATGTAATTCGTTTTTCGCAACTGCAAGGATTCGAGCAAATTTTTTGACTTGAACCATTATTATTTGCACTGTTACTTTAATTCAAATTATAACAGTAAAATTTTAATTGAAATTCAAATTTTTTTATTTACTTACTTCGGAAATGTATGAGTTAAGTGTTCTTGTGTTAGGGTTCTTGCATAATATGAATTATATAACTTGGGCATTGAACATTATAAGTTTGACGTTCCTGAATATTATAAATTGAACATGTAATATTTTGCTTGGCAGGATTTTTTAATATACTAAGACATTCATTGTAGTGTTCTCTATCCATCAAGCTTCGTTTGTGTATGTTTCCAATATTCGGTTAAAGGTCTCATGGCCAGAAAAGAATAACTTTGTGGATTCATTAGTAGAAAGAAAAGAAAAAAATATATGATGAAGGAATATTTTCAAAAGTTATTTATTTATCATTATTGGCATCATTAATAAGCTAGGTCATTTATCGATCAATGGAAATTGAAAAATGACAGGCATCAATTAATAATCAACGTAAATTGAAAAATGAGTTTATGCTCTCAGGAGGATTCAAATGGATTAAGCCATTATGAATACATAGCAATGCCTAATATTAGAAAGATATGATTACCATAACTATGTGACAACTTACTTAACTAGACAAATGCAGAAGAAGAGACACGGGAAAAAATTATTTGTTACAATACTTTACATTTAATCTTAAATCAGAATGTCTTTTTTATGTACCATTTCACGATAATTAGATTCAGATTAAATTGATTTTACATATAATAATAAATTTTCTTATATAGGAAGACTTTCGTATGATTGGCTGTTTAAATCAATTTAATTTTACATTATTTATACAGTTAAAGTACTTTTTTAAAAAAAGAAGAATAAACAAAAAAGATGCATATCGGACTTCACTATTAAAAATAATCAAAATCGCTTTTTGTTTTAGAGAAGTTAGCATGGTTCTAACCCAATTATATCTATTATTAAGAATTCACTATTATGCTAATTTCTCTTAAACAAAAAAAGATTTTGAT